AAATTGCTCTGTTGATTCTACTAATTGGTCTATTTCATATATGAAACGTTTACTTTTAAATGTGGACACTAATTTTTGGAGCATGAGGCCACTGAAGATCCATAGGACAAGATTTCATGGGAAGCATTTTTCTTTCTTCTGACCAAGTAGTATCTGAACTTTCATAAACAGATGGCAAAAGTGGACACTGCAAAGGGCTTTTAAGACGTAATATAAGCTCCCACACTCATCCTAAGTTTGTGATATTTGATTTGCCAACCTTCTGGTAGAAACTCTCTATATTCTAAATGCTCTGTTTTTCTTCAGAGATCACTACTGTGGTAATAAAATAGAGGTTCTGAATGATGTCATCCCAGTCTTCTAGAAAGGGTGGTTTATTACATCATCATGAATAAAAGCAAGAGAAGTGATACTGCTCTAGTATTTTGCAGTGTGAACAAAATGGAAATGATGAGGGTAAGGTCAATCATATACTTCTCCCTCCCTACAGTGTTATCCAGTGGCTAATGTCTAGTTATGTCTTCATGAGAGTATACTCAGATAGAGAGAACTAGAATTCTGGAATAAGGAAAAAAAGCAATTATTTATTGCAGGTACCATGCTTCTGGTTATGCGTGGGGGTAGATTAGGAAGTTAAGACCTTAGGTATATGGGAATTTTATTACATCTCTAGATAGATAATAGAAATTAAGTGGGATGCCAGGTAATGATGAGGAAAGATATCTAGGGAGAGTGATATTCAGTATACCCACTATGATTTATACTGAAGTACTGAAGCTACATAAGGATAATATTAGTTTTTCTCAGAGTACTCAGAGGCGATTGGGATACAAAGGATTAATGCTACTCATCCCCTCAGGAAACTTCTGTGTAAACTAAACAGCAATTTCTTGACTTCAACAGAGAAGCTGCTGTCAAGTAGACTAGAAGACTCATGTCAGATGACCAGCAAAAACTTCTGAAACAAAACTTCAATAGGAAAGCAAATACAACCAATTACATGCAGACCACAAAGTAAGAAAGAGAATGGGTTGATATCACAATAGCTGATAATACAAATAGGAATGCCCTGGTAACAAAAACCCATTTCAGGAGTGGACCTATGCAAATGATATGCAGGTCAGTATCCTATCACTGAGATTAAGGATATCAATGCTTTATGGTTATTTCATTCCTTCTCTTTACAGACTTTGTGGAAACCATTCTGTTGTTCATTTTTTTCTCTGACTTATGATGAGAACCTACCTTGCTGGATAGCATCAATCATATAACAAAAGCATTTTTGGTCAGACCGAGGGATGTCTAAAGCTTTTTAGAGAACTACAGTCTGCTTCTGAGCATGTTATGTATTAATTTTTTGTCTATGCATTCTAATTAGTTTCCCTAAGTCCGATTAATTTTAATTTCTGAGGACAATCTTTTGTAACTCTTTTATGTTTGCTCATCTGTCATTCCAGTTGACAGTACATAGTGCACGATGCCTCTATAACAAATATTCTTAATGATAATATGCTTGCTACTCAGTAAGAAGTACAGAATTATTACAAATCTCCATTTCTTTGCTCTGTCAGGCTACTTAATTGAATGACATCATGTAAAAGAGGTCATTTATTGAGGATAATTCATCAAGAGATTTCCAGAAGTGAAAACTGAACTGAACTTTTTGACCCAGAATTGAGTACTTTCTCTTAGACACTGCAAAGTTCAAAGATTTTTTTTTTCTTGCAGTAAAAGTTTTGAATCAGAAATAAAGTTACACATCTTGAAAAGAGGACCCACAGTGATAAAAGCTGGTCTTACATTAAGTTATGTAGTGAATATTCCTATTGACATTCAAGACCACGGGTTATGGTCAGTAAGAAACTGACTAAATGGCCAATGTGAGTTGGAAACAGTGGTGCAGCCTTCTGGTTTTAGTTTTCCTAAAGCCTAATTGATGTTAAATACTTTTTAAACATACTGTTTAGCTATTCACATACCACTTTGCTGATTTTGAATTGGAATGTCTTATTAAGTGTTAAAACTTCTTCATATTCTGGATGCAAGTTTATTATCCAACTTATCATTAGCAAGTATTTTTCACCCACATGTAGTTTTTATCCTTCCCTCCTCTCCTCCCTCCCTCCTTTCATTCCCTCCCTCCCTCCCTCCCTCCCTCCCTCCCTTCCTTCCTTCCTTCCTTCCTTCCTTCCTTCCTTCCATTCTTTATTTTATTCTGCCTTTCCATGTCCTGGACTAGCCTTCCCCCAAACTACCTATCTACTGGTCTCAGCCTCCCAAGTTCTTTAATTACAGTGTGTACCAATACCTTTCATTTTCTTAATGTTTATGAAAATATTCTTCAGTTTTGTAAAGTCTAATTTATCTTATTTCTTTTATGGCTTGTGCTTTGGTATCACATACAGATGTAGTCTATGTTACCAAAGGTCAAAAAAAATTTTTTAGCTTTCATTGGATATTAATGAGACATTCTGAGGTGGTGTTTATAAAAAGGTGTTAGAGTAATTATTTGTTTGAAAGATTTTTTTTCTAATTGAGAAATTGGGCACTTTTATTAAAATTCAATGTCAAATACAAGGTTAATTTCTATGATTAAATCTGTTCCACTACTCCTAATGGTTAGGCTAGTGAAACTTTCTCACTGTTTTGATATACTGCATATCTATTTAGATTTTACAAATAACTTGTCAAGTTCTACAAAAAAGCCCTTGCTTCTTCTAATCTGTGAGCATAAATTGCCTCTATATTCATGGAAATGTTCTTTAATTACTTTCAACAATGCTTTGTGTTTTTCATTGTACAAGTCTTAAGTTCTCTCTCTTAAATTGTGGTCATATACCTGAATTTGTTTCACTTTTATAAATGAATTTCGTTACATTTAAATTTAGGAATGTTTGTTGCAAGTTTACAGAAATATGGTTAAGTTTTCTATGTTGATCTTTTATCCTTTCACTTTATGTTTTCTAGAAATTTTGCATATTTTTGCGTATTATTTGCATGTTCTTTAAAAATTTCCACACTGAAGATGAAGTCACCTACAAATAAAGATGTGTTTATTTCTTCCTTCTTCTACCACCCCGAAGAAAATAGAAAAGAAGAAAAAGAACATGATTACTGGTCATTTGGATTAGTCCTTTATTATAGAATTAGAAGAGATAGAGGTGAGGTTTCTTTATGAAAATCCTAGACTCATTCAACATTCAAATAACTCTACTTGATAAAGTTTCTCATACAATCCTAGTAATGCAGTGGAGATTTTCTTAGCACAGTCAGAATATGTGCATTCATATCTCCTTATTATGGTCATTTATGAAGTACTGTTAATATATAGCAAGCTACTGACAACGGAACAAACTGCTTGTGAATGTAAGTAGGGATTGGCACAGTGGTTAGTGAGGCACTGATGGATGAAGAGATATTTCTTGGTGCTACAAGATGAGAGCAATAAGGCCCTATCTGGGATTAAGTATTGAACACTAAGCACAATTCTCAAGAAACAAGACCAAAGTGCAATGGCACTTCATGTTCTGAGTAGCTATTTCAGGAATATGCAATGACTGATTTCAGGATATCCATTATAGGGAAATACACCAGCACCAAGAAACAATGAACAAAGAACTGGTAATTACCAACAAATACTGAGCAACAGTGATGTTAACATTTCTAAGAAGTTGTGCCTTTCTAGCACATCATTCCATTTTTTTCCCAGAAGCATCACCTACATCATCTATTTATACATAGAGCTGATGTGAGCCAAGAGTACAAGACAAGCAAAAGAACACCCCAGTTCTTGAGTTTGGTGCACAGATGGTGTTAATGTATGCACACAGGATTTTTTAGATGACTTGGTTCCAAAAGTTCTATGTCATCCCATTTCTTTCCAAGGTCCCCAGTTAGTTAAAAATAGCCAAAGGTGGTCCATAGGAGTATAGCTTGGTAGCAATTGGCAGTGATTTTAAATAATGAGGCCTAGAAAGTCACAAACTACTGCAGGCTGAATGTCAGTCCTTAGTTGAGATTGGTCTCTGTTCAGGCAGCCAGAACATGTTGCTGTTACAGTACCTATGATAAGATACTTTAAACAAATGCTTTTAAATACCTATTTGGTCATTATCCTAAACCATTAGATTTAGCCATATATATGTTCAAACCTAAAATAGAAACATTAGCATACATATGACGAAGCTTGGATTGGAAGGCTCAAAGTATGTTAACATCCAAAGAGGATATTCCTCAAAGAAAGTTGCCAATAATCAATCAGTATTCAGTTCAAATGACCATATAATTTGGTTTGGCAATAGCCGTGAAATTCAGTATGTTGGGTAAGCAGGGGTCTTCAGATGACAACAAAATATATAGCTGTATAAATGGATGGCAGAGATTTAGTTCCAGGATGATTGTCATGTGTTAGCACTAGAGTCTGATAAATACATAGAACAGAATCCAGATTCTAGTCTCTCGATGACAAGGATGTTGTTGGATATGGTGATGCCACTATGATTGCAAACAAAAGACCTGAACAAACAAATCACTAAGAAACAGATCAATAAAGAAGAGGATAAATACTTTGGGCTCAGTCCTAGGCACATAAGCTATGGGATTTGGTCCAATAGAATCAACCACAATTTTATCCTTTGGTAGGGATGTGAATCTCAGTACATTGTGAGGATTTGTTTGTTTGTTTGTTTGTTTGGCTCAGACTGTAGAGAGTCTTGTCTGCAAACTTTTAGAATTCTTGAAGCTCTTGTTCCCAACTATGAAGTTTCTGTGGATTATCTTCATCATTGTTGTTAGGACAAGTTTGGGGAAGGGCTATCTTTCAACCAACAAGTTCTGGTTGTTCAAATTCCTGGGGATGTAAATGTTCTTGATTGTTTTTAATGTGATGCCACAGCAACTTGTTTGTATTTTGAAGTTTATGAAAGTTTACAAATCACTAAGGCCAATGGTGAGAGGATGAGTTTACAAAGCGATCTCCTATCCTCTTACTAGGAAGCTAGCTACATTTTTTTCCTTGCTGGAGTTCTAGAACGTTTAGCAAGGCAATCTCTTGTGAAATGACCAGCCTGGTTACAGTAGAGACATAACTGAGTTTCTTGCTGGCGGGCTCGTTTGGCCGGAGTGACAGGCAGGTGGGCTCCCTGCAATTGTTTAGGTCCATCCTTTGGTAGTGGACGTGTAGGGCTGAGAAAGGACTGGTAATGATTTGTGGAAGCAAACATTGGAGCATGACTTTCTGACTGTAGGAGCTCTGGCCTGTCTTTGTGTTTTTTGTCTAGCTGAATACATTGTGTGATCAAATCTGGGAGGTTGTCCATTATATCTGTGATTTCTTCATCCTGAGTGTGGTCAGCTTGTTCTTTTGGGAACTGATCTCTCTGATTGGTCTCACTATAACTTAAATTTGGAGCATGAACTTGGAAAGCAGTAGCATCCTGTGGAGAGATGTCGCTTTTGTCAACTGTAACATTCATTGGAGGTGTCGTTTCTTGCGTCATAGGCTCACCAAATGACTGCTGTAATTCAAGGACAAAGTTCTCATATTGTTTCAATAGATTACTCTGAGTAGACTCAGATATGACATCACAATTTTGCATCTGCTGCGACAGGTAGTCAAAAAAGTGCTTGACTCGGGCATCATCTGCAGGATTAGAAATATCCAGAGAGGTCAAATAGGTGGTCACCTGAGCAAAAAAACCTGTGGCACTGGCTGGGTTACCATGAAACTGAGGGAGATGGTCACCTGAGTAAGGCCCAGACATCACTGGGGTATTCGGGGCAGGTACAACTTGCCCTGTTAAAGGAGGCTTATCATCAGTTGGCTGTTGCACTTGTGGCTGCAGACTCAGATTGCTCCCTCTCCAAAAGGAAGTCTCTGCATTTAAGTTAGGTGGAGATTCTGTACACTTCTCCATCGTGTCTCAGGCAATTATGTAGAACTGAATAGAAATTCAGTGCCAGTACCCAATACCAAGGGACAGGCAGTGGTTTGTTTTGGGATCTGAAAGGACAGTGTTGTGTACAAGCAGAAAACAGCTATTTAACATCACTACAGAGTGCTGAGTTGAGCTGAAGAGATGCCACAAAATCCTTTATCTTCTACACATCACTGCATCTTCTTCATGGAGAACGTCAGCGTTTTACACATTTAAAAGACATACATCACCTTAGGACACATAGAAGAGAATATTTGAATTAAGAAAATACATATAATAGACACAATAATTTTTTTCTTCCCCTTTCTGTATAAAACTAGATATTAAACTCATTGTTCTAAAATGTCTTTTATAAACACTGTCAAAGGATTTTAGATTAGAGTCCAAAATATTCTTAGTGATCTTCCAGACTAACAATATTTATAATTTCACAGATTAAAAACAGAGATCCAGAGAAACAAAAATGTTTGTCCAAGGTCACCTAGCTAGTTAATATCAGATTTAGGATGCTCATCATGGAAGCAATCCAAAGCAGCACTTCCTCCAGCTCTTCATATTCTACTTGAGTGTGATGATGCTTCATGCTCCTGACCACTCAAAATCTGATCTGGGAATAAAAGCATTGATCTTACCAGAAACGTTTGTAGGAATACAGAAAAACAAGTCTCAGCATGGACCCACTGCATAACTTTTCATACTTTGCTAAGATTTCCAACGTGATTAGAATGTGTATTGTAATCTAAATTGGAATAATCACTGACTATATTTCACACTAACTAATTCAAGCCTCTATTGTTACCTGATATCTGAATTCTGTGTTGTTAATCTATTTTTTTCCTACCATGTCCTTGTCTAGGGTCACATTTTTGTTGCCATGGAAATAATTAGGACATCACAAGGAAGATGAAGATATAAGATTGAGAACATCACAAATAAGAACTGCATGTTCTTAAATATATAAAGATCAAAATGTTCAACACTCCTCCAATCATTGATAAGAAGAAAAAAGTAACCAATTAAAAATTGAAAACAGCCAGTCAGTGATGGCACAAGCCTTTAATCCCAGTATTTGGGAGGCAGAGGCAGGCACATTTGTGAGTTCAAGGCCAGCCTGGTCTACAGAGTGAGTTCCAGGATAGTCAGGACTACACAGATAAACCCTGTCTTGAAAAACCAAAACAAAAAAAATTGAAATTAATCTACAAACGTGACATATTAGTTAGTTTAAACTAATCTTTGTTTCACTTCTTTTGACTACCCTTCCTCATGAAAGATACAATTTAAATTGGCTTCAATAGGCTACCAGTATTGAAAAACTTATTATCACTGATTCTTTCAAAATATAAGTCTCTCACTAGATAGGCCATGGACCTAGGGATAAATCAAAATCTATTGTTCTGCTATAGGGATATAACAAAAATATCTCTTAATGGCATTCTTCTATACTCATAGATATCTTCCTCAGTCATCATCAGAGAAGCTTCTCTCTGCAGTAGATGAGATCTATAACTGGACAATGTACAGAGAGTGACAGACTTGGGGATGTAAGTCCTAAATGGGATGTCTTAATCAAACTCTTTGTTCCCAGGGCTCAGGGAGATGTGGTAGAAGAAGAGGCGAAAAGATTATAAAAGCCAGGGAGATGGTAGACACCAAAGCAATCTTGTCCCTTCAGATACAACAGATCTGATGAACTCATAGAGTGTGGCAGCAGGCACAGGGCCTGCACAAGTTCAAGTCAAATAGGGTCCCAGTGTTGAGAGGGAGAAATGGACAACAGCTCCAATCCCAAACCAGAAAGCAATCTCCAACTGACATCTACTTACAAAGGAACAAATTAATTTTTATCACTAGAGTCTCACTGTGTATATTGACCACACTTAAGGGTGGGCACAAGCCCAGCAGTTATTGGCAAACACAAAATGAAGTCAGTGGTATATTTTTGTATATTGTTTTGTCACAATTTGCTTTCTTTGGGGATTGTTATCTTACCAACATTTTACTTGTATATTATCATTTCTGATTTTATGTATTTTGAGGTGTGTGTGTGTGTTTCTTGTGGAGATGTATATGCATCAGTCCTCTACAGACAAAATGACCTGGGCCAAATTCTGGCTCAGTCCAAAGCTATAAGACTGAACAAGTTTTTTAATCACTCTGAGAATCATTCTCCAAACTTTAAAGCATTACTCATATACTATAAGCATAGCATTTCTCTCTGCATGTATATATGTTAATATATGCATGTACAGATATGTTTATATGTATGCATATGTTCATATATGTGCATGGATCACAGCATGTCTCCTAGGGAACTGTTTATGTTGTATGCATTCCAGGCAGTAAGGTATAGCCTCTGCCCTATGTCAAGAATGCCTTTTAAATTATAGTTTGTCTCTTGTCTTAATAGTTCTGAAGGCTGTTACCAGAGTATAATGTTTCTCATATGCACCACGACTATTTTCACAGTAAAGTAAACAAATATATTCATAAAAAAGAAATACTTATAACACTTACCTCATAGATTTTGATGGTTGGCTGAAATGAAAGGAGACTGTCACAGCTTCATGTCGGTAGCAAAGGCCCCATAAATGTTAGCAATCATTTCTCTAGGCACATAGTTGTAGCATCTGTGTTTTAAAATTCAAATTCCATCTTTTCAGAGTCTTGCAAGGTAACACAGTGCATTACTGTTTATTATATAACATTTCCTGCAGTATCTGGGGAAACATCCCATAATTAAGCCATTAAAATTTCAGCAGGATAAAGAATGTCTGAATATTCATACTCAATTGGTTATAGACAAAATTCATGTCAAATCAGGTCAAGTTTTGCTGCCAACTGGGTTTTAGCAACAAATTAATGAAAAAGTGACTTACATCTTATAGACCTCTTTGATTTCAGAATTGAAATAAGATGGGATTGTGGACCTCTAATAAATTTTTTTTAATTGGAAGGGTATGATTAGAACTTTTCCTTTATGCCTCTGCCTTTTGCCCTTTCTATCTTCAGCAATTTCATATCTTTGTGAGAGCACCTGATTCTATACAGAATTATGTATTCAGAGTGGTATAGCATTTAACTTTCCTAACTATGTAGCAAAGGTGAAACACTTGCTAAAATTAAAAGCATCAGTCCAAGTGTAAACCAAACAATGCTATTGTTGTCAGTGGCAAATACTCATTCCTTCAGAGAAAATCTACCTGATCATTTCATTTGGGAAATTACTTTTTCCTGAGGTCATTGGCCTTCTATTGGATTATCCATAGAAGATGCTGTTGCGAAGACTGCCAGTCTGAAGGACCTAGCAAAGAGTCAAAGCAGAAACAGAGCAGAAACTTCAAATGCTTAGACTTCGGACTATCAGACTGATGTGGCTGGACTAGATCATATAGGAACTACATAGATTAAAGATTTTGATTAATATGTACATGGTTCAGCTGTGAAAACCATAACAACAAATGGTTTTTGCCAATTTTTAATAACCATTTTGTTTATAGTCACTTAGCTCAAAACCATAGTTAATAGTTCCTCTAGACATAAAACTCTTTGAGATGGTATTTCAAGAAATCTCTTTGTAAGGATTATTAGATCTGGAATGTCCACAAAAAGAATATGCTGTAAGGGTTTGGTTTTTAGCTTGGCTCAATTAGAAGGTGTTGGAACTCTTCAGAAGCAGTGCTTGATGAAAGGGCACAGGTCATTGACCTAAGTTTTCAAGGAGATACTGGGTTCAGGGTCAATTCTTTATTTCTCTCCTTTTACTTTCTGGACTCTAGGAAAATGTGCTCCCACCCTGCTCCAAACCCCTTATCAACAGAGCTGACTATCAAAATAGTGAGAAAAAAATGAATATTTTTCTCCCTTAAGCTGAGTATCTCAGGCACTTGGTTCAAGTAACAGAGAGCCAGTATCTCAGGCCAGCAGTACTTTATTGTGTATAAGAGAACTTTTTTTTTTTTTATTGGATGATTTATTTACATTTCCTATGTTGTCCCCTTACCCCATCCCCGACCACCCCCTCGGAACCCCCAATCCCCTCGCCCCTCCTCCTTCTTCTCTGTGGATGTAACCTCTATCTACCCCCCCCACTCCCACCTCCCCACCCTCAAAATTCCCACCCCCTGGGGCATCCAGCCTTCATGAGGTCAAGGTTCTCTTCTTCCACCTATGCCCAGCAGGGCCCTCCACTCTTACATATTCAGCTGAAGCCCTGGATCCCTCCCTAAGTGCTCCCAGGCTGGTGGTTTAGACCCTGGGAGCTGTGGTTGGTTGGTATTGTTGCTCTCCTCATGGTGCCACAAACCCTTTCAGCTCCTTCAGTCTTCACTCTAACTCCTCTATTGAGAACCCCATGATCAGTTCAATGGCTAGTTGTGAGCATCTGCCTCTGAATATGTCTGACTCTTGAAGGCCTCTGAGGAGATATCCATATCAGGCTCTTATCAGCATGCACTTCCTGTCTTCCACATCAGCATCTACCTTTGGTGATTGCACATGGGATAGATACTCAGGTGGAGTGGTCTTGAGACGGCCCCTCCTTCAGTTTCTGTCCCTCACTTTGTCTCCATATTTGCTCCCTTGAGTATTTTGTTGCTCCTTCTAAGAAGGACCGAATCACCCTCACTTGGTCTTCCTTCTTTATGGGCTTCATGTGGCCTGTGAGTTGCATCTTGGGCATTTCAAGGTTCTGGGCTAATATCCAATAATCAGTGAGTGAATACCATGTGTGTTCTTTTGTGATTGGCTTACCTCACTCAGGATGATAATTTCTAGTTCCATCCATTTACCTAGGAACCTCTCGAATTCATTGTTTTTAATAGCTGAGTAATACTCCATTGTGTAAATATACCACATTTTTTGAACCCATTCCTCAGTTGAAGGACATCTGGGTTCTTTCCAGAGAACTTTGTGACTTTACACTGTATTATTTTTAAACTATTTTATCTGCGATCATGAAGCTACAAAGAGAAGCTAAA